ATTCCAAAATATTCTCAGTGAAGCATGATAAACATGTAGTGTAAATCTAATTTACTCATAAAACGTAACCATTAAATCATGTTTTTCATGTATGCATTTCTACTATTAAAACATGCATTTTAGAAGGGGTCCACTCACAAATACTTCGTTGTCGATAAACCATGTGAAATAGGAAGGACGAAATTGCCGCTAATAGTTGCACCTAAGCACATAAAGAGTCCAATTAATAAAACTCTATCATAACGATTGAATTTTGGGAAACGTACATCATAAGTGGATTCAAGATGTCGAAAAACATAAGGGGGAACCTTGGGTACCCCCACGCGCTACCGCAAGGTGGTGGCTTCGGCGACTACTCGCTTCTGTGGGTTGCCAGAAAGTTGGCTAGAAAAGTCATCGACGCTGCTGTCGACGGAGGCGTGTGTACTCCACGTGCGGCCCAAGCTCGGCTAGGTTCCTGGGTTCTCTGGGTTAGGCCGGATTGGGCTGAGGCAATTGGGCCTGGGCTCTATAACTGGGTTGGGTTCCATGGTCCAAAGGCCTGGGTTTAAGGAACCGGGCTGCAAGGTTAGGCCTAAGGCCCTAGTTAACACAGCCTAGAGGCCTGGTTTTGGGTGAAATGGGTTAAAGGGTTTTAGGTTTGGGCTCAAAGGATTTGGGTCAAGGGTTTAATGAGTCCAAAGCCTAAGTTCTATATGGACCAAGGGCTTAGGTTACACGGGGTTTTGGGTTTAGGTTCTAATGGGCTTTAGCCTTGAAAGCCTGGCCAAAGTGTTTGGGCCAAAGGACTTGGGTTACATGGGGTTTTGGGTTTGGGTCGTTTCAACCCGATTTCGATGGAAGGGAAGACCAGAGCTTCCTCAGCTTCATTCAACATCGATTCTCAACCCTAGGGTGTGATTTATCTATCAAGTTAAACCTTATGAGGAAAGGAAGAGATTCGTACCAATTTCACGATGAGTGGTGGTCGAAGTTTGCCGGATTTTGGCTCGAAAGCCACGGGGCTCATCGAAGGAATTTTGTTGGGTTCCTAGGCTTCATGAAGAAGGAATGAGAGAGAGGCTTACATGGTGGGTGTGGATGTGTCACTATCATCGCCATGTATTGATTTGGGGTGTGTGTGGGTGTGTGTGTAGATCGGGGTGAGGGAGAGAAAGTTTGTGCGAGAGAGATAGAGTGAGCTAAGAGGGAAAGAGCTCGGAGGAAGGAAGAGAGAATGAGAGAAAAGAGATGGGGAACTGCCACGTGGCAGCTAATGAGAGGGAGAAAGTTATGAGGAAATCCCAAAAGGAAACTGGATTGGGTAGTGGATAGGGGACAAAAGGGTAATTTCATAATTCTTGTTAAATGAAATTACAATTAGTTTAGGGTGGGGTTTCACAGAAAGATTTCAGTTTGTATATAGTTTGCTTACAATACTAGCATCTCTTATCTACTATTGTCTAGGTCAACCGTGGTCTATAAAGAATTACATGATTTGGTAACACCACCTGTAGGAAGTAATTGTGAAAAGTTTTGTGAGAAGTAAAAACTGTATCTTTGAATGATGTATGTAAAAGTTGCAATAATTTTTTAGTAAATGATCACTGCATTTTTGTAAGGGAAATACTATTTGCTGTGAAAATAACAGCTCCATTTTACAATATTTAGAATTGTGCTATACCATGTTAATGTTGAAAATCTTGCATTGGGATTTACAACTTACAATTACCTGGTTTCATTCCTAATTATACCGAAGAGTTTAGGAGCTCACTACATTAGCTAGCCAACTTTGCTAAGCCTTAGTATATGAAGGTTATTACTTAGTAGAGATTGTATGGATACAAAGAACTAAATCAATAGCGGAGCATATAAAGTCATAGCCTAACAAATCTCTCCTTTTATGTTCGATCTATCATGGTTGAGGCATCACGCCTTGTTCCTGAGATACACCCAGAATTGACGAGTGATAGGAAAGACGTAGGAACAAATACATAAGAATTCACTAGAACCCAAACATGAGATATATAAGATAACCAGCAGAATAAAAAGTAATAATACGTTATAGTTCTCATTAGGAATATCCAAGGCCTTTGAAGAAACTTGGAATTTCTTAGCATGAACAGTGCCCGGCAACCAGAAACCCATAGTTTAAAATTTCTTATTCAGAAAATTAAGCAACAATGCAAAATTTCAGTTGACTTCCAAAAATGAGAGAAGGCTTTGACATTTTCTTCTGAGCCTTACCATAAAATATATAGATAAATGGATATAAGCCATAAACCATCCATTATCTGAAACGACTGATTGGCAATCATTGAGGCACCACGATGGTACCATGAGAGAGATTAGCTCAAGGTAAATCACTTGAACTTGTCTCCAAGTTATAACCACCGACGCCATCAGATCAGATTAAAATTTGCATAATTGAATCCTTTTGGAAGAATAGATACATAACTATAAAATCAGGGACATGCTGAAAACAGGCATTTTCTGGCAAGTTGCTAGTTCAACATACTATATATGTGGACCCAATACAAATTGATTTGTGGTTGAACTACTATATCATAGCAACAAGTTTCCATACCCACACTGATAAAATGATGGATGTGTCGGGAAAAAATCTCTGGTAGTTGGCGTGAGGGGCCGTGTGGGTATTCTCCAGGCAATTGAATGGCAATAGATATTAGCATTTCAAAGTTCACATGGCTTTGTCTTCCAATTCTTCAGAAGCCTTGGTAGTGATTGAGGCTCCACATATTTTTTCCCTAAATGCGTGATTAATTTGAAGACAGAACCATGCATGTGATCCCTAATGAGCTCTTGTTCCCTTCTATATCCATCGAGTTGTCATTGTCTTTACCATATATTTTTTCTTTAGCCAAAAATATTAATCAACATGACTTTTCATCTATATATACGATATGAATTGGATCAAGACCACCAAATTAAATTCAAATTCTCAAGCATATAGCTTTCTTGTTTTTCTGTTGCTAGTTCCTTGAGATCTTCAAGTTTTTATTAACTCTATTGCTAGTCTTTCCTCCAAAAGATTTACTATAATGGGGTTCCGTCTGCCTGCTGTAATTCCTGCTAAGAAACTTTTTCGACGGTCTTTTTCAAATTCAAGTCAAGGAGCTTCATATAATTTAGCGGATGTCCCTAAAGGTTATTTTTCAGTTTATGTTGGTGAGAGTGAGAAGCACCGATTTGTGGTTCCCATATCTTTCCTCTGCCAGCCTGCATTTCAACACTTGCTAAGTAAAGCTGAAGAAGAATTTGGATTTGATCATCCAATGGGCGGTCTAACAATTCCCTGCAGACAAGATGCTTTCCTTGATCTTGTATCTCGCTTAAGTGCAGTTTGATAGAGTGGTGGATTGTGGAGAGCAATTACATGAACTGTGTGATTGTTACAATTTTGTAAATCAAACAATTTCCAGATTTTGTGCATTTTTTTTTTTTTTTGATCGAGGAGGGAGAAATATTGTTCCCCTGGAATCAGATTATGTAAATGCCTAAATGGAGAAATGTTCATAGCTTATTACATTACAATATAGAAAGCATCCCTTTAAATTATATGACCAGGTGTGTTGCTGCTGCTTGGTGTTGTCTTCTGTTAATGACCAACAAAACATTTGTTGGTCGTGGATGAACCGTCTGGTTTAACCTTAAGGACTAATTTTGTTCTGTTATAAAAAAGAGAAGTAAAAAAACGTGAGCTGTACAATTTTGGATTAATTTCTTCAGATTCTTTCGTGATTGAGTTTCCCATTAGGATCCTTTTTTATTTTATTTTTTATTTTTATATATATTTATGAGAATACTAATATGTTAAGTAGTAGTCCCCTCAACAGTTTGGACAATAACCTTAGTTTTCTCTGCATGACTAGTATGTCATTTGGTAGAGTAAAATGCGAATTTTTCATTCAAACAACTCCACTGTGAAATTTTCTGTATGAGTTATATTGTTCTCCATATATCCAATTACGACTCCAACTTTTTATTAATACTTGATGTAGATGTATATGAGTCATCATACAAAACAGAAGAATGAAAGAAACGTTGAACCTTCAATAAGCCTGTCTGTGATCTAATTAGCTAGGGGATTATCTTAAAGGTGGGATATATTGTCAGTCAGTTTTAGTTACTTCTATACAACTGCTGAGAGTGGACACGGTGCTTCTTTAATAAGATGGACATTGACTCAGGAGCTTCCAAACGGCTTCAGTCCCTAGTTCTTTTGGCTTAATCACCAATCATGTGATTCCACTGTCCATGAGAGATTTAACACAAGTGAGTACTGAATTAGCTAGCCAAAGACCTATAGCTCCCATAAAGGGAAATCTTTTAATACGTACGGATTCCACTGTCAACATACAAAATCAAGTTAGGACATTTGTATGTACAGGTACCATTTATTTGAGTAATCAGATCAACTTTGGGGAAGGTAAGGGTTGTAGTTCTTGACACGGGCAAAAATTAAGTAGCTAGGCTGATCTCTTGCAGTAAAGAACCTGCTTGAGACTATATCTTTACTTTGCTAATATCTGTATAGTTAAAACTTTTTGACCAGGCTAGTAAGTAATATAATCACATCAAGATTTGGATATCTTAGAGCCTAGGATGGTTAAAAACTTTGGCGCATGTCTTTGGGGATTTGCCTGAATAGGCTTTTAATGTCAACCAAACGAAAATTTGTATGAGATAGAATGTATTAAAATGTTCGCATTGATACTTTTGTGAGAATTTAAGCATGGACTAGTGCTATTTAATTTGGGGCATATTCAATAAACACATTGGTATTTTCATGGTAATTTCAGCAGGGATTAGTGCTATTCTGGGTACATCCAATGCTTGTTATATTTAAAATTTTATTCATACAATAGTCCATTCATAACATGTTTTTAAATCTGCCTATGATGTTTACTTGCATTACTTCGTCTGTCAATATTCCAGTAATTAGTCCCTTGTGTATAAATTTATCGTCTGTTCATAACTTGATTGAAGAAGATAGCAAATAAAATGAAAGGTATATTATGAAACTGTAAAAACGTTGTATTGTAATGAAATATTCTAATCTCAGTTTTCCTTGCAGGACAACTATGTACATTCAGTTGACAATAACTATTCTAGAAAAATTGTGTCAGTGAGTTTATGTCCGCTAGGCTGGCCATTTTCCTCTCAGCTCATAAGCAGTTTGACGTTGATGTCCTCTTCCATCATGGTGATTCATTGGATGATCAATCAATTGAACCTCCTTCAAGTGAGCCAGAAAGCCATTAAAATTGCCAAGTGCTTTTACAGCTGTTGGTGTCAAAATCGTGTCGACGTATATGTAGCTAGCCTCTACTTATACACCAAAGCTGAGGTGAGACCAAGGAAGGTGTCTTCACTGCAGGGGATTGTGATACCACCCATTGGATGATCATATCCAAATTCATCTTCAGATAGGCTTAACAGATCTTGGAATGAAGGTTGGTTCAAGTAGGACACCGGAATAATAAACCGCTTCTTCTGGCTCTCCCCAACGTAGATGGCAAGATAGCCTTTTGGAACATCCAATGACTTTGAAGAAACTTGACTTTTCTTGGCATGTAAAATACCAGGCAATCGGAAACCCATGGTTTTAAAATTTCTCTGTAAAAAGGAACAATAAAGAGTTCAAATGAATTTCAGCAGAAAGAGCTTTGATAAGATATGCTTGGGAGTAGAAGAGCTGTGTTGGTTTGCTTCTGAACCTTGGATGATGTATGCATATATAGCCAAACCGGTATGCTGCAAGGCATCAGTTACCTGAAATGATTGGTGATGAAGCACTGGGATGGACCCAAGTGAGAGAGAGAGTTTTCTCATAGAAAATCACATGGGCTTGTCTACAAGTTAATTATCAATATTTTACGAGTCATTTACCGAAAAAAATACGATTGGTGAAGGACCGTGGCGGAGCCAAGTGATAGTCATTTTCTCATGGAAAATCACATGGACTTGTCTTTCCAACAAATCAAGAAAAAAATATGAGCAGAAATGAAGAATCACAATACCCTACACATCTCTTAATAACTGCACAAACTAAAAAAGTATTGAAACTAAAATAAAACACAATGTCCTACTCATGTTCGGAAGGTACGCCGGCAAGATCAGTCGTAATCCTAACAATCAACATAATGTTATAAGAAAGTTTGAGGGAGTGGTCTGCAGGAAATTGAATGGGATTGAAAAAAATAATAATTCTAAAGACAGTAGCATTTGCAAGTTCACATGCCTTTGTCTTCAAATTCATCAACTTTTCTCCGAGTGGTGATTATTGAGGGACCATGATGGTACCATGAGAGAGATTAGTTCATGGAAAATCACATGAACTTGTCTCAAAGTTACAACCACCGACGCCATCAGATTAATGTTTGCATAATTGAATCATTTTGGAAGAATAGATACATGACTAGTATAAAATCAGAAACATGCAGAAAACAGGCATTTTCTTGCAGGTTGCTAGTTCAACATACTATATATGTGGACCCAATACAAATTGATTTGTTGTTACAGTACTATATCATAGCAACAAATTTCCATATCCAAACTGAAACAATGGATGTGTCGGGAAAAAAAAAAAAAAAAAAAAATCTCTAGTAGTTGGCATGAAAGGCTGTGTGGGTGTTCTCCAGGCAATTGAGTGGCTATAGACATCAGCATTTAAAAGTTCACATGGCTCTGTCATCCAATTCATCACAAGCCTTGGTAGTGATGGAGGCTCCACATATTTTGCCTAAATGCTTGATTAATTTGAAGACAGAACCATGTGATCCCTGATGAGCTCTTATTCCCTTCTATACCCCATCCAGATTGTCATTATCTTTACCAAATATTTTTTTCTTTAGTAGAAGATATTACACAATACTTTACACAATACTTTTCATCTATATATACCATATGAATGGGATGATGACCACCAAATTAAATCTTCAAGTTCTTAAGTATAGAGCTTTCTTGTTTTTCACTTGCAAGTTCATTGAGATCCTCTTCAAGTTCTTATAAACTTTATTGCTAGTCTTTCCTCCAAAGATTTACAGCAATGGGGTTCCGTCTGCCTGCTGTAATTCCTGCTAAGAAACTTTTTCGACGGTCTTTTTCAAATTCAAGTCAAGGAGCTTCATATAATTTAGCAGATGTCCCTAAAGGTTATTTTGCAGTTTATGTTGGTGAGAGTGAGAAGCACCGATTTGTGGTTCCCATATCAATCCTCTGCCAGCCTGCATTTCAACACTTGCTAAGTGAAGCTGAAGAAGAATTTGGATTTGATCATCCAATGGGCGGTCTAACAATTCCCTGCAGACAAGATGCTTTCCTTGATCTATTATCTCGCTTGAGTGCAGTATGATAGAGTAGCGGATTGTGGAGAGCAATTACACGAACTGTGTGATTGTTACAATTTTGGAAACCAAACAATTTCCAGATTTTGTACATTTTTTTTCGATTGAGGAGGGAGACACGTACTTTTCCCCTTGAATCAGATTATGTAAATGCCTAAATGGAGACTGTAGCAATATTCATAGCTTATTACATTACAATATAGAATGCATCCCCTTAAATTATATGACCAGGTGTGTTGCTGCTGCTTGTTATCGTCTTCCAATAATGACCAACAAAACCCTTCTTGGTCGAGTGATGAAACGTCTGATTTAACCATAAGGAGTAATTTTGTTTTCTTTCATAAAAAAGAGAAGGAAAAAAAAGACGTAACCTACAATCTTGGATTTATTTCTTCAGATTCTCTTGTGATGAGTTTCCCATTAGGATCCTTTTATACAGTTAAGAGAATGCTTATATGTTAAGAAGTAGTTCCCCCAACAGTTTTGGACAATAATCTAAGTTTCTCTGCATGACTAGTATGTCATTCCATAGATTAAATTGTGAATTTTTCATTCAAACTACTCCAATATGAAATTTCTGTATAAGAATAATTCTCCTCCATATATCCAATTGCAACTCCAACTTTTTATTGATACTTGATGTAGGAGATGTATAAGAGTCACCATACAAAATAAAAGAATGAGAGAAACGTTTGACCTTCAATAAGACTGATGCTAAATTAAGTGTGTGAGCACCATAAGTCCACATTTAGTGGCGTCAGCGGGTGATGTTGATGCAGCGCTAATCTTTCAAGCAAACAAAGCCACCCTTTAATTAGACCTCTCAGAAGACCTGTAAGATAGCCAATTCTATAAGGGGGCACCGAATGTGTTGATTCAACATATCCCCGTTGGAGCATGAAATTATGCTCTCAACAACAAAGTACACTACTTTACCGTAGTCTCTAGCTTTTAAAAGCAAATGCTGCGTGACTCACTAGCTGCGGACATGGCTGTACCATTTCTGCTCAGGCCAATGTGATTGGAAAGATGAAATATGCCCCTAGACTTGGCTATAACTATGAAACTCCTAGGATCAAAATCTTCTTGGGGTTAGTTTTCTGCGGGGAAAACATTCATTGAACCATTTTCTGATTAATCAAGAGGTACATATATTGTAATTAGTACCTCCCCCTCCCCCTCCCATTTCATCATTTTGTGGTTAGCTTCCCCTATTCTTCTTGTTGGTTATATGTCATGGTTTATGGCGTACCACTTCTTCACAACCAAATTCCTTGTTCAAAACCGCAGTATTTAGTCAACAAACAATTCAGGGTTGCACATCAGCAGGGGGGTCGCACCAGGTTCATATTTAGCAGCACACTGCTCAAGCAGCGATTCAGGACTGTGCTGGAAACGATGAGCTTTTATGGAAGCTTGTGTCCATTAGAACTAACGGTGAAATTTGGTGCTCATGCACTTAATGTTACTAAATAATTTTGAAGGGTTTAACTTATTTTACGTTTCTGAATGTTGTAGGAAATTCTCAGTTTGATAATATAAATCAAGTAATTAACAAGTAGAGTCACAATTGCTTCAAAAAGGGTGTGTTTAGTCGAGATTTCTAGTGGTATACACATTAGCATAACAGTATCTATTAAAAGAGATTCTAATGGAAACTCAACCATGAAAATCTGAAGAAGAAACTTATTCAAGATTTTGCTACCTCTAAAACTAGAACAAAATATTTCAACTTGGAATGTTAAAACCTCGTAGATTTTGGATTGTACAAGATCCATTCCTGCAAGGACAAAATGAGATACCCAAATGGGGCAAAACATCCAAACTAACCTTATTTCTTGTAACAATTACGTATCTTTTTCTTTTTTTTTTGGCAGAAACATACTTCAATCATTCGACTTTAGTTGATGATATAGTGCAATAAAAACTTTACATCCGTCCTTTCATCAGACTGAGAAAGAAACAATTTAATGCTCACTAGCATAAGACAATAACGCGTGGTATAGGGATGTTTTTCAATATTGTAAATTAAGAAGCTATGAAAATTGCTAGTCTCCATTTACACACATCCGATTCCAACGGAAAAATAATTCTCCTTTCTCAATCAAAAAAATGTACAAGATGTGGAAAAATTGTCTGATGTACAAAATTGTAACGATCACACAGTAAATGTAATTGTTCTCCATTATCCAATCTCACAATGCACTCAAGCAGGAAATGAGATCAAGGAAGGCATCTTGTCTGCAGGGAATTGTTAGACCGCCCATTGGGTGATCAAATCCAAATTCTTCTTCAGCCTCACTTAGCAAGTCTTGAAATGCAGGATGGTTGAGCAATGATAGAGGAACAATGAACCGCTGCTTCTCACTCTTTCCAACATAAACTGGAAAATAACCTTTTGGGACATCTGATAACTTATATGAAGCTCCTTGACTTGAATTTGAAAAAGACCGCCCAAGAAGTTTCTTGGCATGAATTACAGCTGGAAGACGGAACCCCATTGTTGTAAATCTTGATAGGAAAGACTAGTAATCGAGTTTATAAAAACTTGAACAAGATCTCAAGGAACTTGGGAAACAAGGAAAATCAGACTTGAGATGTTGTAGACTTAATTTGGTGGTCATTAACTCACGCACTCATTTGGTATATATAGTTGAAAAGTCTTGTAGAGTAACCTCCGTTGAAGAAAATATACGACAAAGACAATCCGGATGGGGCATAGAAGGGAACAAGAGCTCATGAGGGATCACATGGTTCTGTCTTCCTAACAAGCAATTTAGGCAAAATATGTGGATCGAGTTAAGTATTTATCTTTCCATCATTTATTTTAGGATAATACTAGGGGGACTAAATTTTTTAAACAAAATTTACAAACCAAATGATGTGGTTGTTGATGATTGGATTATTACTTAAGCAGTGATTAACGTACTTATTTCCTATTAGTGACACATCATTTGTTTTGCAAATTTGGTTTAAAATTTTGGTCTCCCTAGGATGGGCCCAATCAAGGAACATCAGTTATCTAAATGATTGGTCTTAAGCCATAAGGATGGACCCAATGAAGGAACATCAGCTCAAGTAAAATCACATGGACTCGTCTATATAATTAGTTAGGCATTCAGATTAAAACTATAATAAATATAAGCCTACAATATCTCAAGTAGTTGGTGTTAGTGGTCGTGAAGCAATTAAGTTGGGATTGGTAAGAGACATTAGCATTTGAACAAAGTTCACATGACTGTCTTTTGATTCAGCACCATGATTCCTTGATTGGGAATGAGACTTTGTATCAACCTAACAATTCAAAATAAATGATGGAAATAGAAGTAGCTAATTTGATCCACATATTTTGCCCAAACGCTTGACGGGAAGACAAAACCATGTGATCACTCATGAGCTCTTGTTCCCTTCTATACCCCATCCGGATTGTCTTTGCCATAAATTTTCTTCAATAGAGGATATTCTGCAAGGCTTGTCAACTACATATACCATATGAATGCATTGGTCCAAATTAAGTCTACAAGATCTCAAGTCCAATTTCCTTGTTTCCCAAGTTCCCTGAGATCTTCTTCAAGTTTTATAAACGACTACTAGTCTTTCTACTCAAGATTTACAACAATGGGGTTCCGTCTTCCAGCTGTAATCCCTGCTAAGAAACTTCTTCAGCGGTCTTTCTTGAATTCAAGTCAAGGAGCTTCGAATAATTTAGCTGATGTCCCAAAAGGTTATTTTCCAGTTTATGTTGGCGAGAGTGAGAAGCAGCAGTTCGTTGTTCCTATATCATTCCTCAACCAGCCTGCATTTGAAGACTTGCTAAGTGAGTCTGAAGAAGAATTCGGATTTGATCACCCAATGGGCGGTCTAACAATTCCCTGCAGACAAGATTCCTTTCTTGATCTCATTTCTGACTTGAGTGCACTGTGAGATTGGATAATGGGCAACAATTACATGAACTCTGTGATTGTTACAATTTTGTACGTCAGACAATTTCTGCGTCTTTTATACATTTTTTTTTTTTTCCGATCAAGGAGGGAGAACTATTGTCCCCCTGGAATCTGATTATGTAAATGGAGACTTTAGCTAGCGATATTCATAGCTTCGTTTTTACAATATAGAAAAACATCCCCTTTATACCTCTTCTTGTTGTCTTCTGCTATGAGCTTTAAAATGTTTCTTGCTCAGTCTGATGGTTGAATGGACTTAAGGTTTTTACTGCACCACATCTTTCATTAAGGTCGAATTAGGGAAATTTGTCTGCAGGGATTTGTAATCATTCATAAAAAATATTCTTTCTAAAATTAAGGTTGGATGCTTCTTGTCAAAAATACAATTTTCAGTTGAGAGCGTTTTATTTTGATGAGGTTGTGGCCCCTGATCAGTGACCATCAGTGGGCTAGTTGAATTGTAATCATGTCTTGGCCCAAAGATAATTGATCTGGCCCATACACAAAGAAAGATCCATGCACATGCTAGAGAATTCTAGCAAAGTTCAAGTTGGTGGAAGAGTCTAGAAGAATGGTGAGGATTCCACCAACATACAAGATTAGTGTAGATAATTCTAGCTTAGGAAGGTAGTGGAATTATCTAGATATCTCTAGCATGATGTTTTCATGCTTCTCCAAGGGTCCATCCATGCCTATAAAAGGAGAAGGTATCCACACCATTTGTAACAACCAAGATAGCAAGTAGCAAGAAGTGAGAGTGTCAAGTAAGAAGTAAGAAGAAGCAACAAAGCTTCTAAGAGTGTTTGAGTGTTTCCTCTTGTACTAAGTTTGTGAGTGAATGACAGCAACAACTTCGATAATTGGAGTATCAAAATGAAGGCCCTTTTGGGTGCACACGATGTCTGGGAAGTTGTGGAGAAAGGCTACACTGAGCCAAAAGATGAAGCTACTCTGTCTTAACCCCAGAAGGAGAGTTTGAAAGATTCAAGAAAGAGAGACAAGAAGGCTCTCTACCTTATCTACCAAGCATTAGATGACAATGGCTTTGAGAAGGTCTCGAGTGCAATCTCTGCCAAGCAAGCATGGGAGAAGCTTCAAACCTCTTACAAAGGAGCCGAACAAGTGAAAAAGGTTCGTCTTCAAGTATTAAGAGGTGAGTTTGAATCTCTACAAATGAAAGGGTCTGAATCAATCTCTGATTATTTCTCAAGAGTCTTAGCCGTTTCCAATCAATTAAAAAGAAACGGAGAAAAGTTAGAAGATGTTAGAATTATGGAGAAGATACTACGCTCGTTGGACCCCAAGTTCGAGCACATTGTCGTGACGATTGAAGAAATTAAAAACTTGGAAGAAATTAGTATAGAGCAATTAATGGGTTCACTACAAGCATATGAAGAGAAACATAAGAAGAGGCAAGGGAATGATGAGCAGCTCCTTAAGACGCATGTTCAGCCAAAGAAGAAAGAAGAAAGCTTCAACAACGAGAGAAGCTGATACGGAAGAAGTCGTGGTCGACGTTGCGGACGTGGACATGGGCGTGGATGTGGTTGGAACTTAAACAACCATAGCAACTACGAAAGAGGAGAAAGCTCAACAAAAGGTCGCGGAAGAGGACGCTCAAACTCAAGGTATGAAAAATCTCAAGTTCAATGCTATAATTGTCAAAAGTTTGGGCATTATGCTTGGGAATGTAGATCTCCAAACAGTAGACTTGATGGGAAGGTTAATTATGTGAAAGAAGAGCAAGAAGAGAATGGCGTTGTGCTACTAGCATGCAAGAACAATGATGGAGACCAAGACTATACATGGTACCTTGACACCGGCGCCAGCAACCACATGTGCGGAAGAAGAAGCATCTTCGTAGAGCTCAATGAATCAGTGAGTGGTAACGTTTCTTTTGGAGATGAATCCAAAATACCCGTAAAAGGAAAAGGTAACATCCTTATTCCCCTGGAAAATGGGGGTCACCAATTAATTTCGAATGTCTACTAAGTGCCCAATATGAAAAACAACATTTTGAGTTTGGGTCAACTCTTAGAAAAAGGTTATGATTTTCATACGAAAAATTATATCCTTTTTCTTAGAGATGACAAAGGAAGATTAATTGCCAAGGCGAAAATGTCAAAGAATAGGATGTTTCCCATGAACATTCAAAACGATGTTGCAAAGTGTCTCAAGATATGTTACAAAGACATATCTTGGCTTTGGCATCTTCGTTTTGGGCATCTTAACTTTGGGGGACTGGAGTTATTATCCAAGAAGGAGATGGTGAGAGGCTTACCGTGTATCAGCCACCCTGATCAAGTTTGCGAAGGATGTTTACTTGGGAAACAGTTCAGGAAAAGCTTTCCAAAGGAGTCGACCACAAGAGCCCAGAAGCCACTCGAGCTCATTCACACCGATGTGTGCGGTCCAATAAAACCAAGCTCTTTGGGTAAAAATAATTATTTCCTTCTCTTCATTAATGATTTTTCAAGAAAAACCTGGGTGTATTTCTTGAAGCAGAAATCAGAAGTCTTTGGAGCATTCAAGAAGTTCAAAGCCGCTGTAGAAAATGAGAGTGGTTGCAAGATCAAAGCCATGAGATCTGATCGAGGAGGAGAATTCACTTCGAAGGAATTTCAAGAGTTTTGTGAAGCAAATGGAATTCGTCGACCTTTGACAGTTCCAAGATCCCCTCAACAAAATGGAGTGGCAGAAAGAAAAAATCGAACCATCCTCGACATGGCTTGAAGCATGCTCAAAAGCAAGAAATTGCCTAAGGAATTGTGGGCAGAAGCTGTAGCATGTGCTGTCTACCTATCCAATCGGTCTCCAACAAAGAGTGTGTGGGGAAAAACTCCGCAAGAAGCATGGAGTGGAAGAAAACCAGGTATTTCTCATCTAAGAGTTTTTGGAAGCATAGCCCATGTACATATACCAGACGAGAGGAGAACCAAACTCGACGACAAAAGTGAGAAGTTCATCTTCATCGGCTATGACACCAATTCAAAAGGCTATAAGCTGTATAATCCAAACAATGAGAAGACGGTGATCAGTCGAGACGTGATGTTCGATGAAGAAGGAGAATGGGATTTTGGCTCGCATGCAGGTGATCTTCACTTCTTTCCTCAATTTGAAGAAGATAATGAACAAGGGATGATGGAGCAAGTAAGAGAGGTTCAACAAGAATCCACTACTCTACCTGCTTCACCAACATCAACCAATCATGGTAATTCATCAGCATCAGCATTGTCAAGTGGGAGTCTAAATGAAAGAGAAGTACCACGCACAAGAAGTATACGAGATCTTTATGAGGTAGCTGAAAGACTTGATAATCCTACACTTTTCTGTCTTTTTGCTGATTGTGAACCAGTCGACTTCCAAGAAGCAGTGCAAGATACTAAGTGGAGGAAAGCAATGGATGAAGAAATTGAAGCAATCCAGAAGAATGATACATGGGAACTCGCTATTCTTCCGAAAGGACACAAAGCCATCGGAGTCAAGTGGGTGTACAAGACAAAGAAAAATGCCAATTGAGAGGTCGAAAGATACAAGGCAAGACTAGTGGCGAAAGGCTATAGTCAAAGAGTCGGAATCGACTATGATGAGGTATTCGCACCCGTTGCTCGGTTGGAAACTATACGATTACTAATTTCTTTGGCAGCTCAAAACAGTTGGAAGATTCAACAAATGGATGTGAAGTCCGCCTTCCTAAATGGAGTCCTTGAAGAAGAAGTCTACATTCAGCAACCGTCAGGTTATGAGATCAAAGGGCATGAAGACAAAGTTCTGAAGCTGAAGAAAGCCCTCTATGGGTTAAAACAAGCACCACGAGCATGGAATAGTCGCATCGACAAGTACTTTCAGGAAAACAACTTCATCAAGTGCCCTCATGAACATGCTCTCTACGTCAAAGTCAAAGATGGAGATATTTTGATTGTGTGCTTATATGTGGATGATCTAATCTTCACCGGGAGTAATCCAAGCATGTTTGAAGAGTTCAAGAGAGTGATGACCAAAGAATTTGAGATGACCGACTTTGGGTTGATGACATATTACCTAGGCATTGAAGTCAAGCAGAACGAAGAAGGAATTTTCATCTCCCAAGAAAGCTACACAAAGGAGATACTGAAAAAGTTCAAATGGACGACTGCAAGCCCGTGAGCACGCCAATGGAGTGCGGAGTCAAACTAACCAAGTATGACAAAGGAGAAAGCGTAGATCCAACATTTTTCAAAAGCCTAGTTGGAAGCTTGCGCTACTTGACTTGCACAAGACCAGATATTCTCTATGCTGTCGGATTAATCAGTCGTCACATGGAGAATCCCATAACTACACATTTGAAAATGGCCAAAAGAATTCTTCGATACCTCAAAGGTACTGTTAACTTTGGCTTGTTTTATTCAAGTTCTGATAACTACAAACTTGTTGGATATAGCGACAGTGATTGGGCAGGAGATTCCGACGATAGAAAAAGCACTACTGGATTTGTGTTCTTCATGGGAGACACTGCATTCACATGGATGTCGAAGAAGCAACCGATTGTCACTCTCTCTACCTGCGAAGCTGAATATGTAGCTGCTACTTCATGTGTTTGCCATGCAATCTGGCTGAGAAACTTGCTGAAAGAATTAAGAATGCGACAAGAAGAGCCAACAAAGATCTATGTCGACAACAAGTCTGCAATAGCTCTAGCAAAAAATCCAGTATTCCATGACAAGAGCAAACACATAGATACCTGTTATCATTTCTTAGGAGAGTGCATTGCAAGAAAGGATATGCAAGTGGAATACGTGAAGTCTCAAGACAAAGTTGCCGACATATTCACCAAGCCACTCAAACAAGAAGACTTTGTCAGACTAAGAAACTCAATTGGCGTCACAAGACAAGATTAAGGGGGGATGTTGAATTGTAATCTTGTCTTGGCCCAAAGATAATTGATCCGGCCCATACACAAAGAAAGATCCATGCACATGCTAGAGAATTCTAGCAAAGTTCAAGTTGGTGGAAGAGTCTAGAAGAATGGTGAGGATTCCACCAACATACAAGATTAGTGTAGATAATTCTAGCTTAGGAAGGTAGTGGAATTATCTAGATATCTCTAGCATGATGTTTTCATGCTTCTCCAAGGTTCCATCCATGCCTATAAAAGGAGAAGGTATCCACACCATTTGTAACAACCAAGATAGCAAGTAGCAAGAAGTGAG